AAAAGAGCTAAGAGTTCCCTGATGAGTATCAGTTGAATCCGATATTGAATTCACTTAAACATTAAGTTTCTAAAACATAAACTTAAAATGAACAAGGTTTTGATTTTAGTGTCGGTGATAGGAATGTGCAGTGCACATTTTCTCCCAATATTAAGCGGTGGCTTAAGTATGTTATAATAATCACGAAAATTATTAAATATTAACATGATTTTGAAAAATAGGTAGTATTAGCGGTACTATTGGAGGTGCTGCCGGAGGCGCACAGGGAGGTATTGGCCAGGCTATTGGTGGTGCTACTCAAGCTGCCAGTACTATCGGTGCAGCGGCTGGTAATCTAATCAATGAGGACATCAAATTCAAGACCGGATTGGCTCAGGGTATGTTCGCATTGACTCTAAAACTACAACTATTTTAATAATTATTTTTAACTACAGGTGCCCTAAATGCGGGCTCAGACATATTGGCAGCAAAGAGTGCTTTTGTCGGCAAATTGGCTAATGCTGCCGAAGGCGCTATTAGTGGAGGTTTGGGTGGTGTCACGAATGCTACCGGTGCTGTCGGTGGAGCCGTTGGTGATCTGATTAATGATGAGATCAGAATTAAATCCGGATTGGCTCAGGGTAAGTCTTACCGACTATTACTTATTGTATTGGTTTATCTAAATTGAGCTATTGATCCATTGACATACAGGTGCTTTGGGAGGTGTCCAAGATTTGCTAAAAGCAAAGGGAGATTTTGTTGGACAGGTTGGAGGAGCTGTTGGTGATGCCGTCAATAAGGGAGTGTCAGGTATTGGACAGACAGCCGGTACTATTGGTGGAGCCGTTGGTAATCTGATCAATGACGACATCAAATTCAAGACCAGATTGGCTCAGGGTATGTTTTGTTTACTTTTTAGTATTATTCTCAATATGAATAGCAATGAATATGGTATAATAAATAAACTTTAACTACAGGTGCCCTAAATGCGGGCTCAGACATTTTGGCAGCAAAGGGTGCATTCATCGGAAAGTTAGCTAACGCTGCTGAGGGCGCTGTTAGTGGAGGTTTGGGTGGTGCTGGTGGTATCGGTGGTGGATTTGTTCTGCCCACTATTGGATTTGGTTTTAAATAAACTATTAAAATACAAATAATATATCTAAAATTAATTTTGTAAAGATAATTTAAATTAAAAATTATCTTTCTAATAAAACGTTTAATAATAAAAATTTCTAAGTTGCAAGATCACACTTATAAAAAATATTTATTTCATTAATACTAGTACTTAAAATAAGACTTGAATATTGTATGTCATAATAAATTCACTACCTCTGTATTAAAAATATTTTTGTTTTATTATTGTATGCCTTATTTATCACATTGCTTTTGGGTTTATGACTATATTTAGCAAGGATGTATAATTTTATTTTGGCATTATTAGAATAGTAGCATACAAAATATATTTTATTATAATAAAATTCGATGAAACCATAATATGATTACAAAATTAATACCATTTTTAATAATGAATTTGAAATTAAGATATTTTGTACACTTATTTAAATTTAAATTTATTTTAACATTTTTATTGTCAGTATGTTTGTGCTATAGTGACCCAACGGTGTCCGGTAGGTGCGGCCCACCGGGACTGCCACCTAAAGCAAAGTTACAGCACATATCCCCTGAAAGGATTAGTTTTGATAACAACGAGAAAGTCGTGATTTCCTGTAAAAAGGATGAATTCCCACAATTCAATCAGGAACTGGAGTGTAGGAACGGTATATGGGTTGGTGAGCCAGCACGTTGTGGTCAGAATCATTAATTTTGTTCATTAGCATTAATAAAAATATTTAAATTATTTCTAAAAATAGGCGAACACGTGGACACTCAGGTGACACATCTGGATGTGTTTGACTGTCAGTCACCGGACAATCGGTTACTCCTATCGCAAGCCATAAACAAGTCATGGGTAGCTCCACCGGACTTACCCTTACAGCCTAACTCTTACCACTTATATCGTGTACCCTTTGACCTAACTATACCGGCCAATGAGTCCACGTGCTATACGTGGCGCATACACTTCGAGCATAATGTTAGCATAGCTTTCTTAAGGATAGATTTCATGTATTCACAACACAACAGCACCGGTAGTCAGACAAATGTCATCGAAAATGTTATTACAAATGTCGAGCCAATAGTGAGTCCGTACCGCACCTGTATTTTACAAGAGAATATATTGACCATGGGTCATCATGAAATGACCGGGTATACTTTGGCCACCTATTACTACTATTGTGACATAAATAGTGAAATGGATGTTTTGGTTAAACAGTCGGCGCTTATGGACAGGGTTACAGTTCTAGTAAATACTAGCACACCTATTAACTTGCAACTTTATGCTGTATTTGTGGGCCGGGTATTCACTACGAGTGTAGGTGGGGGCAAAATAGTAAAACCCGATTGCGGACAGTTAGAGTATAAGACTACTGCTGTAGATATCTTAGAACTTACGGAACATGCCTGGGTTAGTTGCAATGACTCGTTTATAGATACAGGTGCTCATAGACATGATTTTAAAAGGGTCATAATGTACGGTGGTATCCCAAGGTTAGTATTATACATGTATTTTAAGTATACAGCATGATAAGAAATAAGTGATAACGATTTTGATTTAATGTAGATTTCTTATTAATAATTAGAAATAGCATTTTACTATTTCATTTTAAAGGTTGA